CGTACGACCATTTCACGAGTGTACCGTGAATATCGGGAATCCGGTAAAACATCAAACCTCCCGCATCGCTTCGACCGCAAAAACATCGTGCAAGAATGGGACCGACGACGACTGAGGAGACTCATTATACGTGACACGCGTGCAATCCTTCCGCAAATTGCGACAGATTTAAATACTGGGCCATCAATAAGTGCCTGCGTGCGAACCATTCAACGAGACATTATCAATATGGAGTTTCATGGTTCACTCGTGTACCCTTGATGGCTGCGCGACAGTTGATGAATGAAAACATGGTGCATTCTCTGACGAGTCTCGTTTCACATTGTTTCGAGCGGATGGATGTGTAAGAGGTTAGCGACAACCTCAATAAACCACAGAACGAGAATGTCAACAGGGGGCTGCTCAACCTCTGTGATATGAGGCGTGTGCAGTTGGAGTGATAAGGAACCCCTGATGCGTCTGGATGCAAATCTCACAGGTGACACGTACGTAAGCATCTTCTTTGATCACCGGCATTCTTTCATGTCCTTTGTACATCCCAACGGACTTGCGCGATTCCAGCAGGACAATGCGACAGCCCACACGCACAGAATATCTACCGAGTTGCTCTAGCAACACACTTTTGAATTTAAACACTTATACTGGCCACTTCAATCCCCAAACATGAACATTATTGAGCATACGTATCTGGGATTCCTTGCAACGTGCTGTTCAGAAGAGATCTCCATCCCCTCGTACTCTTATGAGTTTATGGTCAGCCCTAAAAGATTCATAGGGTCAATTATCTCCAGCACTATTTCAGGCACTCGATTCCATGCCACGTCGTGTTGCAGCGCTTCTCCGGGCTCGCGGGGTTCCTACAAGATATAAGGCAGGAGTACCAGTTTGTTTGGCTCTTCGGTGTATAGTACGATTTATTTAGTCGAAACCTTGAACAGCTGATTTACGTTGAGTGTACGGTTAAATAAATCGTAGTATATAACGAGTTCGTGTTTTTATAGATGTTTTGCGCCTCATTTCTATGTAGAGTTTCTTGTTTTCATTAGTATATTGGTTTAGCTTTGTCAATAGTATGGTAAAGGAAATAATATCTACAAAAATTTTGTGGAGATTATTTCCTTTACCATACTATGGATTGCCGCAACATATCTGCTACCACCACGGAATTTAGCTTTGTGAAACTATTTTTGTGAATACAAAGTAAGAATTATTTTGTTACCAAGACTATTGTGTCTCTCATGACAGTATCCACAGACCAAAATGTTCATAATACCTAAATGGGCACTCACTTTTTATACAGGCTGTATAAAGTGATTGTGCAAAATCATGACCCAGAAAATGCTATTTTCTCCCAAGATATAGTGAACATTTTCTTTACACGGTACTGTACCATGTTCGGACGTAACTAAGACATTATGTGTTCCATAGTGGTATTTTCGCTAATTTCCGCGCCACCGGTGCGTCCTCCAATTCCATTGCAACTCTTCTGATGGGGAGGCTTAGGTGGCTCATGCCATCAATTGATGTCATTGCAGAAGCTCGGATCGGGAGGTTCAAGGGCTCGAGTTCTAAACTGTGGAAGGATTTTCGACACTAGCTACATAGCTAGATCGCATTCAGCCGCAGTCTGGAAGAGAATTCTAGCGACCGGCTTCTCTGACCTGAAAATTTCCGTAGCTTTTCCGATCAACAACAGATGAATACCGGAGCTGTACTCTGACACACCGGCCATGGACCGGCCATGGTCTCTGTCTTGTCATGTCCTCATCCCTTACTTACACACACTTCCATTTACGTGCACCACACTACCACACATGTTGGGAGATCGGTCAGAGCTAAGAGCTTGTCACGGCAGAGGCGGTGCCCCGCTCATAGGAGATACCTGGTTGGGAAAACCCCCTCACATATCGACGGGTAGGTCAACGCCAGATCTAATCCTCCAGCGGGGGAGGATCACCACTCCCGCGATAAAGCATGCATTGCACGTATGGGAGTAGTGACCTTAGCAGTTGACGGAATATAGGTGTTGTGGTGTGATATCTTTGGCATTTTTAAAATAATTAAAGATGTCATTGCCAACAATATTATTTAAAGCAATAGCAGCTAGCAGCAATAGCAATAGCAGACAACTGATGATGATGGCTAAGCCATCGAAAGCTGCTATTGCATTAAATAATATTGTTGGCAATGACAACATGTTGACGGAATCACTAATTGATCGATCTTATTACGGCTCTCATCAGTCCTAATCTTGGTGCGGAAGTCCCCAGCTGCGCTCCGATTTCGCTACTTTGTAGAAAGCAGAGGCCAGTCGTGTGAAACTTTGCCCGCACGAGCTTCTTGCCTGCTTCGGCGCTACCGGCACGGCCAACTTCCCCTGATTCCGCTCACATTTCTCCGCCAAATTCACAAAGGTGTGTACAGGCGCAAGCTGTAGCTGGGAATACAAGCACAACATTTGATCAAAATATCACGATATGTGGTCGTTTTCTAACGCACGAAGTGGTTGCTTTCTACGATGAATTGGTTACTTAATACAAATCTACTAATTTTCTAGCAAGTGACAGAGATTTGTTCATAATATATTTTATTACTTATTACTTCATTTTCTACGTGTTTATTTTCTTTCTAATATTTCCTCGCACGCTCAATTTTTGTTTCTATGAGGGGCAATTTGTTTCGTGAATCTGTTTGAATGAAAAAAAATTTTTACCGTTTTTGTCCTGGATAATGTATTATTAAGGAATTGTGTTAATTACTGAGTAGACCAATAATGTTAATTTATCATGTCTCTGTAAAGTCAAAGTTAATCTCCTCTAATAAAACCTCCTCTTAGATTTATTTTATCAACTTTACTGGCGGATAGTTCTTTTAAAAATATTTATTCCTAATTTGAACATAATAACAATCATCACATAATAACAATCATATAAGTAATTTATATTACAATTATTAATATTCTTAATATTAAATGATTGTACTCATCAGTATATGTAATTAGAAAATAAAAATTCTTCCGAATCAAAATGTTTAATTTTTCTCTCGATTGATAAGTTCAAGTATAACTAATGTATTTTATTTTTATGGATAATTTCTTTGCTTTAATATATCAAGTGGAAATCAATATATCTAATTTCGGATCAAAATCTTTCAACTGATTTCTTCAAAAGACTGTCATTAACCAGTAGAGTCCACCAGAAGAGTAACCAGTTGTGCACAATTACTTTTAAATTTCGCGGTAGTTCTTCGGGACGCAATGCTCGCAAACTCTAGTAAGTTAGTTACCTTACCCAAGACCTTGGCATGCTTAGCATAGGCGTATCGCTACAGCAACCTCACGGATCGCGGTCTGTGATGTTCGCTGCAGCAAAAGAAAAGACAAATATTTCATAGCTGCCGATGGTCCAAAAGCTAATGATTTTCAAGCGCAGTAAGGCGTAATGGTTGGCGTAGATCTGGACTCTGTACATGTGAGCTACACCATCGATATTCGAATACCAGACGAATGCCGGAGCAATACCCTAACAAACGGCCAACAAACCACAATCGATATTTCATTTCTGTCCCATCCTCACCTCTTTCACAACCCCCCCACACACACACACACACGCACTTACATGCATTACTCTACCGCACATGTACGGAAACCAGAGCTTGTCCTGATTTGAGAGTTCCGCCACTAATGGGAGATACCTGCTCGTGGAAAACCTGGCAAACCGACGTGTAGGTCAGTCCCGGATCTCGCAACCATGTAGGAAAATATTATCACTCCTTCCTGTGATAAAAATCCACTACACTTACGGTATCAGTGCCCTTAACCGTTGGCGAGCCCGGAAACACTCATTCAATCAGTATCTGCGCGGAGTGTGCAGTCATTTTAGGCCCACTGTAACCGCATGAGCGGGGCGGGCGGGGCGAGGGGGGGCGGGGCGGCGGCTTGACGGGCGGCGGGCGGGGCGGGTTGGGCGGCGCGGGCGGCAGCACGACGCGTACACGGCTGGCCGAGGAATGACTGGCACTGGCGTTGACTCAGCCGTCGCGAACTGTGAGTTTCACCTCGCCCACTGTCAACTCGACGTCCCCTAAGGCTTCATTAGTTTCAGTTTGCTCGCCGACTCGATTTTCCGAGCTTCCCTTGGAACCTTGTTTTCATTCGGAGAGGCAAAGAACGTAGATTTTAAGTGGTACATTGTGCCGTGTGAAACGTGATAAATATGAGATAGTCAACACATTTCTGTATTTCATTTCACTCTACACGCTTAAATGTGTGTGAATATTTTATTTTTTAATATTTTCAGAAGGTGCAGGATTGCTCATAGCTCCCACTCCAGTGTTTAACACCATTTTACATTGTTCTTGAACAAGAGTACAGTCGTCACAAACACAAAAAAGATCTTAAATTGACAAATTAAATGTCACATTCGATCATAATTTTTTTTTAATTTCGTCCAAAAGTAAGACTACATTGAGGATACGCGTGCCAGAGATTTACAATATCAGGTATATTTGATATTGAATTACTCATAAAATTGAAATAAATTAAGTAGTCCTTACAGGTTATGATATGAAAAATATTTTGATTTTCCAGTTGCTATACATTTTTCCACGAAGAAGTAAATAGGAACTGACGGATTTATAAAAAGTACTACCCAGAATTTGAAATCAAATTACAAAGATAAAAATTTTCAAATTGACTATATATTTCAATACCTAGATCCGTATTGAAATATATAGTTAAAGTTTATATAACACAAAAGACTCCATGATTATACATTGTTCTTATGTGGTATAATTATTTGGATAAGATCTTATTTCAATACGCATCTAGGTATTGAAATATGATCTTATCCAAATAATTATACCACAAAAGAACAATGTATTTTTTTACATTTTTCAGTCATTGAGTCTTTTGTATTATATCAAACTTAAACAAATAACAATGACAATTTGTAATATCACATATGCCGTCGTCTGCAAGCGTTTGATGTGAAAGGACTTACCTCCCAAACAACAGCCTCGCAGCGGTAGCACAGGTACACCAACCGCAGCACTAGCAGGCCGACGTGCGTGCACATGGACACGAAGTACCATGCGGGGAACGAGGGCGACGTGGGGTTGAAACTTACCACGGCGAAGAACAGCAGCATCACCACCTAGACATCAGAATCGTATTTAGTCCATTACGGGACATGTCCCAATTACGAAAAGTATTTTAACTTTTGTGTCTTACATGATACTTTGCAGAATATATAATAAATATTCAGAATATATAATAAATGTTTGTTAGGGGACGTATAATACTTTGCTTATTATTTCTCATAGCACATCGATTTATAATGTGTAATTATTGGTAAGTGTACGTTAAATGGTGAAAAGTAATAAAGATCTCGATTACAGGTAGAACGTAAACGCTTTTGAGACACACCTGACCAGGCGGGTTTACTATTAAGCGTGATGCGAGTATTTGGAAATTTAATTACATATGGTAAGGATTTCAAAAATATTTTTAGAGTTGGGTAACACCAGATGAACAAAAATACTAAGCGTTCCGTTTTGGGAACACTGATCACATTCAGTTATTTTTCAATATTACTATGCTCTGAGCGTTCAAGCGTACACCATCACCAATGTGCACTTCGTATTACTTTTATACCACGCTGTAACTTTAGTTTTCGATAATGTTTTGTCATTTTTGCATTTTACTTTTTACTTGCAATTTCTAAGAATGTGGAGCGGTATTGATCAAGTTTGGTCATTCAATATATTCGGAACTTTTCTGAAGAAAAATGTCTGTATATTAGTAATAACTGTCGTTTTATTTCTAAAAAAGGATATGTAAATATCCAATATGTTACAATTTCAATTAATTCCTTAAACAAAATCATATGACAGATGAGAATATTTCTGATGAGGACCTTTTTACGGATCTGTCAAAATGCAAAATTTATTTGGGCACTTTTATTCCAGTGTGGATTGCTTCATTGAACTTGAAAGCTGACTATTGGAGCAATTTTTGAAACTCTTGAAAATAAATTCCATCTTCAAACATCAAAGGAGATAGATAAGGAGTACTCTAAAATTCCTGTAGATTACATATCAAAAATCTACAATAAAATTATTGACGTGAAATATCACAAAAGCAGTGACATTAGTTAGCAACAAGTTTTACTTTTGTGAAACAATTTATCGATATCAAACTGTTCGATAAAGCGCCTATTCCACTTCATAATACAATAATACTTGCAAAATACAAAAAGTCAGCATTTCTATCTCTACACGCTGAGAATAGATCACAAATGGTACTTGGCGTTGTTTACACATTTTTTGATGTAGCTGTCGTGAACACCTGGAGTCTATTTAGAAAATAACACTAGTCATGTTTACTGGATGTGCAAAGAAGAATAGTTTTCTCCAACCTTTCAAAGGAGACTATACACCCAGGAAAGCCGAACAACAAAGAAAATGTCCAAAGGGGGTCGAGTCAATACTTTATGAAGGACTACTTCTTGCAACTATTTCATAGAGCGCATTAGTAATTGCCAATCAAAGTTGCGCTGAGTGAAAAATGAAAAGTAATAATCAACATGGCTGTCCTAGAGACGCCACGCCGCAGTCACAGATGCCAACGTTTCGGCCGTCGTACTGCAACCATCCTCAGGGTAAAGGAAGCATTTCGCCTTGAGGAAGGTCGCATTGTGACGGATGAAACTTGGCTTCTCTGTCTAGGATGCGGATTATTTGTGTAATAATCAGTTGAAATTTGAATGTAGTCAGGTAAAAAAAGTATACATTCATTATCATTAACAACATGTGATTCATTTGCGTTTTACACATGCGTTTCATCACATGCGTTTGAGAGCAGCCGCAGCAATTAAAAGAGAAGTAAACTAATTTATTGACAACAGCATATTCTTTCCCAAATTATTTGAGACTGTCACTAATATTATATTACTATTTTAATGCACAAAAGTATTTTCAATCCGCAAAAACATTTACCCGGACTGAGATATGCAGTTGAATGCCCAGACTCCGTGATCGCTTATTCAACATACAAGATTTTTTTGTTATCAAGTAACGCAAAAAGAAATTGTTTTAATACACACGTTAAACAAATTTTAAAAGTCGTATTTATAAGAAGATGGTTTGAAAAGTTCTCAATTTGAAAGTGAAAATGAAAAATATATTTTTAACATAATCTCCAATTACACTAATATATTTCTCTCAGTTATATTCTAACGCCTTTATTCCGTTTTTGTTGTGTTATTTCATCCGCAATTACACAAAAAATTCAGAGGAATCGAAATCGAGAAAATATGGTGGATACATTTCATAACGCCTTCTAGTTTTCCATTGCCAAACCATTTTTGTGAGCACAAGCATTGGTGTGATAGAAGTTTATATTCTTTTCCTGAATGTCGAATCTTTTTCACGAAGTTGTTGTCTACATTTGTTTGATAGTTGATAATCTCCAATTACAGTTTTACTAAAAAGATAATCAATTATGAGAATTGTTTTCGGATCCCAAAATGAATTTATGCCATCACCTTTTCCACCGATGGCATTTCGGTTCTTTGGAGCAGGTAGACCGCCTTGTCCACTGTTTGGAATATTGTTTTGATTGTGGTGTGGAATGGAGAAACCACATTTCATCCATTGTCACAAATCGTAGAAAGTCCCTCACGTTTTTCCTAATATGCGCCAAGCATTATTTGGAAAGTTGCACACGTTTTGATCCACCATGGTCAGGTTACAACCATCTTACGCAATTCCTTTTCATTTCCAAATCTTCATGCAAAATGTGGCCACATTTATTTGGAATGCTTACCACCTCAACCATTTCGAATATCTCCCACGCTGATCTTCCAAGAGTGTCTCGTGCCCTTTTAGATTATTTCCAGTGTTGTCCGGTAGACCTTCATGTTTATCATCTTGGATGCAGACACATTTGAGCCACGTTTAAAATCGTGCGACCTTGGTTGTGATGGAGAAGAACCATCATTCACATTTTAAAATCTTGAATGAATTTCGGTCAGCGACAAACCTTTTACGTAGAAAGTTACCACTGTACGGTACTCATTTTTCTCCATTTTCATGAATACGCGCACTACAGCCTTAGAAATCTACCTACCGAGTAGAATGACTCGCAAATTCACGTAGAGCCCTCTGAAAGTTGCATCTACATGGAAGAAAAATAATTCGAGAAGTTCTGCGATCATTGGACAAGACCAATAAATTTTCAGACCACCTTCATACACACATTAATGGTACACATTTATCTTTCCCCCATTTTAATTGTAAATTCTGCCTCCAAAGAAATTAAGATACCATGAGAAAACTACACAAAAGCATATAAAAAGAAAGTTGTGATAGTGGAGGAATGGGGGTGTGAAGCAGCTTACGTTGCAGTCATCAGTAGAGACGTAAAGGCTAACTCCGTTTCCCCGGGTTACTTCCCCTGGAAACGTGTCAATTTTTTTTATTTCTTACTAGATAGGGATATGAGATTTCAAACGTTATCTTTAACAAAATCGTATTCTGTTACCGAGAATAAACCAGATACTATAGTATCGCGATTGCAAAATACCTCGCACAAATAAAATGTAAACCATACCGTCAATAACAATACGTATACACGTACGCAACATATCACCGATCAAACTAGGAAGAGTGAACTACTAAATACGGATCGCTGGCAAATCACATGTCTATTTGTCGACAATTGTTTTTCCAACGAGAAAGTACCACAGAGCGAGATTCTGTGCTTCATCGCAAAAACATACATGATCAAACAATGTCGATTGGCGTGGGAGCACCACCAGTGAAATGTTTTTCTAACGATCAGAATCAAACAAACTGTTCGCTAAGTAGATGAACGCCGTGAAAATGTTTCCTTGCGGAATATTGAGTAGCGTTGTTTATTCATTGGTATTGAGATAAACTTTGCTGAATTTTAAAATATTAGTCATTACAAAAAATGTGCAATCATATTACTTCAAAGTTTTCAATATGCGATAAAACATATTCATTATTCTAAAAGCAATTATATCCTTGTCATATCTAACAAATACTTTATGAAATTACAAATGAAAATTTTATGCACACCCTTTCATTTCAATAATATCAATTCCGCTTTATTTGATGGTTTGTACTGTCCGCTATACTTGATATTTTCTTTAAAGAAAACATATTTAAACCAAATGTTTAAATATCAATGTTTGTACCGTCGAAAATTTGTTCTGAAGATGATCAGAAAATGACAAATGTATTTTTTCTCTTAATGCAATAAATTGCTACGATTTCAATGTGGAATAGTGCCATAAAAAGCTCGTATAAATACCACACGTACATTTATAAGTGACAGTATTGGATATTTGTGAGAAACATTCGACTGTTGTATATGTAAATCGTTCAATGCAACTTAAACAGTTGTTAAATCATTTTCTTACCTTTCCATGCCGATGCAATCATTTAATACAAACGCATTTGGAGTAATTCATACATAGAAGAACCTGAACCTAATCGAGATCCTTTTTATCTGCACTCAAACTTCGAGGATATACGAATTATCAACATGAAATGATTCACCTCTTATAAACGAAAAAAATATGCATGTTGTCTCAGTTTGTACGAACATAGGTCAAGTTTCTTTTGTTCGGCCATTAGAGTTCCCGCGGTCAAATCACGACGAACACGAGTCGCCGTTAACGAGGTTGTCCTTCGGAGCCTAACGACGTTTGCCCGCTCCGTCGATTTTTACGGTCTTGTTTGCGCGAAGTGTTGAGCTAATCAACTGGAACTGGGTTTTACTTCGCTAATCAAGGGGATGTTTTTATGTTAGCCTGGATGCGTTCTTTAAGTTGAAAATTTGCGTGCGTTAAGTTTCTGCGCTCTGTATGAATTATTTATCAATGTTCGCGAAACTTATTAAAGACATGCATCTTTAATGCACTTCTGCCGAAGGCTCCAATCTCTTACATTTAATATGATGCCATCGTGTAGTGGTGGTAGATTGGGTTTGCAACTTTTGATAAGACTATATGCGTCTATAAAAGTCAATGTACACTTCCATAAAAATATAATACAGAGTAATAATGGAGTAAGTAATCTTAAACGATAAACTTGGCTTGCCATTGTGATAAAATTCAAAGAACAT